ACTGATGATTTACCAGTATCAACTATACAACTACTGATGATTTACCAGTATCAACTACACAGCTACTGATGAGTTACCAGTATCACACTACACAGCTACTGATAAGTTGCCAGTATCACACTACACGCTACTAATGAGTCACCAGTGTCACATTTTAAACTACTGTTTGAGAAAGTCAACATTTACAAAAATTTATCAATAAAAATAATGATCCATTGGTAGGACTGTGTTCATGCTGATAAAACACAGTTGTTGAAACAACAAAAAAAACGAATTAAGAAACAATACACTGAGTTCACATGAAATGAAGTAACTAGTAATCTGTTGTGATAAATTAAAGTCGAGTTATTGGTCTCAATAATGACTGCATTGTTTGATCTCGAGATAAACATATAATTCCATTCATTTTGAAACTTGGACCACCAAAGATATCAGTATAATTCTGGGAATTTCAAGACAATATTGTACAGTTGGTTTCTACATTATATTTTTTGTATCTACAATGTCAGCTGCAGAGTTCTTGTAGCTTATCTTTTGCATAATCCAATTGAGATGAGCTCTCAACCAGAGGTACATTTATATACACAAATAAATAATTACATATACATAGTGAAACCCTTTTTGTAATTATGAATAACAATTCACATGAAAATTGCCTGATATTCGTTTTAATCGCAAACTCATCCAATGCTGTCTCAAATCTGTCCTCCTCGGGTAATGACTAAATTCATGCATTCCATCTTCAAATATGTACTTCTCAGGTGGTATCTAAACTTATACATTCCACCTTCAAATCTGGCATCTAAACTCATACATTCCACCTTCAAATATGTCTTTCTCATAACAGTGTCTAAATTCATATATTTTATTTTGAAATATGTCCTTCTCTGGATAGTTTCAGAACTGATACATCCTGTCTTCAAATTTGTGCTTCTCAGGTCAACATTTAACTTCTAAATTCCACCTTGAAATATTTTCTTCTTACAAAAATAAAGACACTGAACCAAACACACATACATAAAATAACAATAAGAACAAACACCATTAAACTGATGTAGAGACAAATAAAGACACTGAACCAAACACACATACATAAAATAACAACAAGAACAAACACCATTAAACTGATGTAGAGACAAATAAAGACACTGAACCAAGCACATACACAAAGAATAACAATAAGAACAAACACCATTAAACTGATGTAGAGACAAATAAAGACACTGAACCAAGCACATACACAAAGAATAACAATAAGAACAAACACCATTAAACTGATGTAGAGACAAAT